TCTAATGTATTGATAAAAAGTCTTCATCTAAAAACTGATCTAAAAATGTGCGGTGTCTAGTACAACAGAATCATGATCCTTGATTGGGGACTCTAGGTGCTACTGCAACAGGGAAAAAAATTAGTTTACTCCCTTTAGGAACAGCCCTTGCATAAAGATGGGGATGGACTGAACAAACATCTCTCTTCATGCTTTTATCTACTTATTGATTTCAGTTTTGACATATCTTCCCTTTCCGGATACTTTTGGATTTTCTTTATCTTTATAAAAGTATTAAAGTATAAAAGGTCTATGTTCCAGAGGGGGCATTTATAAATATACTCTGATCTTAACAACTCAGCCAACATGTTTTGCATTGTGCTCTGAAATTAAAAATTCATCGGGCTCTGGCCAGTGGAGGAAAGGGAGTTTAAAGTATGAATTCGTTGGAGAGAAGGAATGTAGCTAGCAGTTAGGAATTTGTTAACAGGCTGGCCAATACATTTCTTCCCCCTTCCCCCATCATCTTTAAAGTTAGACGAGCTGTTATACTCATTATGATCACTAACAGTAGGTGCAGGTATAGTGGATTTACTGTATGAGTCTAGCAGAATGAATAAAGAGCTTGTTGATTAAGCTGAAACCACTGGCAGCGTGTCAAAAGAAATATTGCCCAAGTTAATTAAAATTTGTAGGCCTTGTCAAAGATGGCATATACCTGCCTACATCTATGGCAAAGCAGCATCAGTGGCTGTTAGTGTTATGTATAGCGGAAATGTTGGTCCACAAGTTATTAGAACTATGCCTAATCTGGCCTTTATTTGCTTTTCACAAATGTTTGTACAATTTAATTTATTTTTAGTTGAAATGAAAAAAGTAAATTTGGAGCCATAGCCAAGGTAAGGGGAGTAGAGTAACATTTAGGTCTAAATGAGCAACAGTTACTAGGCATGGCAGGAAGTAACGAGTAGTTGAAGTTCTTCGTGCCAGCAATGGTCTTATGTATTTGTTTACATCTTGCGCAATAGGGCAGTGAACTTCGCTGAGGCCTCTCAGCAATATTATATCGCCAGCAGCAGTCATTTTTCTCTCCACTAGAGAATGGAACTGCCAAGAGACTTAAGGTGATAGCTCCACTTGCACCCCATTATTAGGTGCTGTGTAAACTTAGAACTCTCTACTGGCAGCAGGAGAATCCACCTTTCTAAGGACCTCATCCTGCAGCTTACATGCCTGGGTGGAGCCAAGGCCCATGGATCAGAGTGGGGCTCACATGGATGAGGTTGCAGGATCCAAGCTCTAAGTTTGCAGGACTGTCCCACTTTGACCCCCAACACCCCCACATCCCAGTTGAAATAGAGCATTTCCTGCATTAACTTGGCTACCTTAAATTAGAACCAATTACTACGGGTGAACAAAAATACAATTAAAATTGAACATGCAAGTATAGCCACAAAGTTGTATTTCATTTGTTGTGTAAAGTCACAACTCTGTATT